CGCAAGAGATTTTCGTCAATCGAAATACAGGTGGGCTCTGGGTGAAGTTGCCAGACTGATTGGTCGATTCACCTACCTAATAGAAGTCCATGGCGAAAAGTGGCACCGCCACGCAAACCAGCTTAGTCTCCGCTCCAGAAGTAATCATTGTTTGGCTCCCAGAAGTTCCAAGCTTGATTTTTAGATATTACTAGAGGATTTCTCGTTGCCGAAACTAACAGACGCAAATTCGGATCGAGTGGAATATACAAGCCAGGAGTCGGTGCCATCATTGGATACAGTACGCAGACGCTCAGTAAGGAATCGACGACTAATGGATGGATTCAAAAAGACTCAAGGGCTGGAGGCTCTAGGCAGACATGTCAACAGAAGTGGGAGGTGTCATATACGGAAGCCCAATCCAAATGCTGCACGTGACCCTTTCCTAGCTATCCCCCGATGCAATCAGATTGTGCCAGTGCCCAGCCAAACATCAGTGAGTTAACCAATAATGAACCGTATAACAGACATTACGGGACACATGTTGACTCTTGACTCTTGATCTAGTGGTCTAAATACTGCCTGATCATAACCATGGTCTACTCTTTTACCCATCTAGTTGGAGTACTTAAGATCATATCATTTTGGTCCTGCGAAGTCGACGTGGATGCGGCACCTTGGTTTAGTAGCTCTTGGCTTTGTATGAGCTACGCTTTTTGTGGCGCTTTTAAGACCTTGGTGCACTTTTGGCAGCGTTTAGCCAGTTCTTCTAGCTTTTGTTCATGAAAGGCTAGTATACATAGCTGCGGGTAAGCGCCTTTATCTGGTTGATCCCAGGATGCCAGGCATGGAACTGTCGAATAACGCGCTCCTGAAGGGCCTTAGGGATGAGCACTCTTCCCAAAAATACTATACAGTTGTTCACAATAGAGAGCGAATGTCTACTCTGGTAGTACTGTTACAAATCGACAGAGGAACATGAACATGGTCAACTCCTTTCGTGAGACTATGTGAACTTCCTGAGTACTGGGTCCCGAAGTGTTTCGGTTCTTACAGCTTCTGCGATAACGGGCAGATGGTGTAATGCGTCACACAACAGATAGTTGGCGTCAGGTTCGATCTCGACCGAGGCAATAACTGTTTACTCATGTTCTTGTTGATGGGCATCAATTAGATGTGACAGTGCATCAGCTTGGCTAATGAAAATTGGCGACTGGTAGTGGATCTCGAAATCAAACCCCATTAAGGTAAGAGCCCAACGTTGTTACCGGTAGGTTGTGTAGGCCGGGATGCCCTTTCTCGAACCAAACATAGCCACCAAGGGCTTTTGCTTTGTCGGAAGCTTGAAGCAGCAGCTATACAGCATTTTGTGGAATTTCTTGACCGAGTACACTATAGCAACTGCTTCTTTCTTGAGCTGACTATAATTCCTCCCGGCCTTCTTGCGTGTTCTGGCGGCATGGGCGATGGCTTTCTGAGATCCATTGGGGTAGGTGTGTGAAATTACTGCGTCAATCCCATAGCTTGATGCATCTGTGGCTAGGATGATCTATTTGAAGAATCAACATGAGTCGTAAGTAAGTTTGTGTACAGCAATGTCTCGACCAGTTCGAAGGCATTCTGACATTCTGATGTCCAGCTCCAAGTTTAGCCGTTGAATAGTAGCTTATATAGCGGGGCACGCAGGCGGTGCATCTCAGGCGAGAATGCGCTGCAGTGGCTGCTGAGCCCACAAAAAGAACACAAGGACTGAAGATCTGTGTTGGTGGAGGCATTTTCTAATGGCTTTTGCATTTTCTGGAACTGGTCAACGTCCATCCTTTTCAAGGATAAAGCTAAGACTTTTGTTGCTCGTGGTGAAAAGCACGGATTTTTCCTCACGGATCCGGAAACCACACGACTATATACAACCGAGTACTTCATCTAGCCGTTTAAAGAGCTCTTCCGGTGTTCGACTCATCACTATGATATCATCCAGTTATGCAGCGGCTCCAGAAACGCCCGCTATCAAGACATCCAACAACTGTTGGAGAATGATTGGCGGTTGTATTGGAATAGTCCTGGATGAGTGTTGCTCGTCAACAACTCCCTCGAGTCTTAGGCAACATCCCCTTAAATGAGCGTTGGACGGATCAAGCTTGGCAAAGCACTTAGCACCATTCACTTTTGCAAACATATCTCCCGGTACGGGTTATGGTGCTGGTAGTTGTCCAGCGCGACCTTAAGTCTGGTTGAGAAGTCAGCGAAGACGCGTACCTTGCCAATTGACTTCTTCACTGCAGCAATAGCGGCGGCCCATGATGAGTAGTTGACGGCTGTGCTACTTCCGGTTCATTCCAGTCGATGGGGTTCTTAATCAACGGCTGACATAGATGCATATGATACAGGACTTTTAGCCATAAAGATGCCTTTAGCTCCTGGTCGCAAGCTCAGTGTTGTCTTGAATTTCATACAATCGCTCAAGCCGTCCTGAAAGACAGAGACAAATGTTCGCTTCAGCGAAGTTGTCATGTATTCGACGGACTTTGATGCTGGATCTTGCTTGCTGGACTTGCTTGGACTCCATTGAATATCTGATCCAAAGGAACATCATGGAGTTGCAACATTCAATCCAGTCGAGTCCAAGAAGATTCAAATTCGGCCGATCTGAAATGAAGTAGGTTCCCGACTCTGCCAAACCCCTGAATGCAATCTTGCAGGTAAGTTCGCTCATTAATCTTAGCACACCACCGGATGCATTGTGAGCAACCTTGTGAGACTTGACCATCTGTGGCCTCCTTATATGTGATTCCATGCGTTCCTGGAAATAATTATAATGTCCGACCGTGCCGATTGCAGTTTTGTTGGGATCCCATTAATCAAAACGCTGATAAATCGTCGTCTCGGTTTACACTCACTTTGCAATGGGACAACTGAACAGAGCATTTACGCCATTCTTTCTAGAATTGCTCTTTTATAAGGCCTCTTCACGTTCTTCAGCCGGACCTGACTGCAGAATTTTTCCTTGTGGCCTTGCTTATTGCACCATTCACATATATAACGTTTGAAAGGGCAAGTGTGCGAAATGCCATTTGCCGCATGACCAGCTTGCTGTGGGCAGTTTGTTCATAGACTTCTCAAGTGGTTTGCTTGGGTTTTCAGTCCTGGCCATTTTCACGAAGTGCGCGATATCTCTTGGTGCAAGATCATTCCGTCCGATCAGGGCAGTGCCGTGTTTTAGGGTGAGTAGCCGTTTGCATTCGCGTACCACGATCTTCAGTGTCAGATCAGGATCATGATCCAGCTTAGCTAATGGTCACGTGTGGATCTCAACATCATTGGAGGATTGTAGAGCGTTGACGTAAATGAGACACTTAAACTGATCGTCCATTAAAATGCGTAGTTTGATACGCTCACACTCACGGTTAATCATATCTACTAGTGCCTTAAAGTCGTCCGATTCCCGTTTGACACTTTTCAGGCATTGATAGCGAATACTGAACAAGGATACTAAATCAGCGAAAATTTCATTCAGCTGCGACACTGCTTCGTCAAAGATCCGATCGTTCGGCTGTTTGGGCAGGATGTGGTCCGTGAACCTTGATGGTTTACTTGTGCTTAGCTTGCGGAGTAGAAATCGCACCTGTCAGAAGTGCTCCTGACAAATAAAGTCCGTCCGGAACATGTCTTCCCAAGGCTTGAAGCACGCTTCGAAAGTGTAGCCAGAATCCGGGTTATAATTGAATTATGTGATTGCATTCGTGAGAAGACCAACGGAACTCGCCTGTGTCCCGCGTCGCTGTTTCAGTTGACTGCAAACTCAAACTTTGTGACAATTTTTCGATCCTTTTCATCTGGGTCTTCATTTGAAATTACTGTTGGAAAAGCAGCTTTTGAAATATTTCAGCAGAACAATTCATCACATCTCTAATTTTATCCGTCCCATTAGTTTTAATCTTCTCACTAGATGCAATTCCGAAATAGGCACTTTACTGCTCAAGCAAAGTTCCAGCTCAACCGAAGAAAAAATCAGAATGCCAATGGCCTTGACAAAATAACATGTTAAGTGCCGTCAGCAAAACGATCGCAACACGTCTCGGATGTATTTTTAGGTCTCTTCCTGATCTTCAACTTTTGGAATGTGAAGTCCAAGCGCCAAGATTAGTTGTTTTACGTAGATTTGGCCGATCTTTCGGAGGTTTCTAGTCACGTGCATGCACTGGAATATTCCAGAAATTTCGAAGTCGACACAGTAATCGAGAACAATCGATTGATCGCTGAAATAATGGTTTCCGGAGAATTCTTATCTTCTCCCGCACAGACCACTTACATCTGTTATACCAGTTTAGACAGAAGTCTCTAGGAATGTACAGAAGTCGATATCGGCGTTTGCCGAAACCTCACAATGCTTTACCCGATTCTGAAGAACCTAAACCACATTTAGCACTTGGTGCTGCAAATAAAACAAAACACCAACATAATTGATCGTCCATTGTATTTGACAATGCAATTGAGTCGATTGGAATGGTACCGAAATTCGTTTCAATTCGAGCGGGTTAGCCGTAGAACGCACCCCCAAATTGTTTTGTCTCTGCTCCCAATCTAACCATATGCTCTAAAAGTCATGAAAAAGTACCGCCCCATTTGTACTTCATTTTCTACTTTGTGTGAGCAAGGGCGCTATAAAAAGCAACCAAATGGTGTGTTTTCAACATTCTAACCCGTGCATGTATACTTTTATCGCACGAACAACTGGGTTCTTCTGCGCAACTTTTTATTCCATAATGGCTTTTTCTTGTCTCGGTAATTTTCATCACACGGGACTTGATACCAATCGCTATTTTACCTGTAATAAGCGGTTGTTCCATTGTTCCAAGACAGAAATCTATCCCATCAGTTTCAAGCTTCATCTTCTACTGGCCAAAATCGGAGCCATTAGCCATCAAGCTAAATCCGCAGTTTACAATTTTAGCAGCTGAACCGTTTGAAAAACGCCCTCATTTGTTCTTTTACACGTAGTTGTCTTTTGTATCTGTTTGCAGGCGATTCAAGACAACTGCTGCCCGCGGCCAGGTTCGGAGTCAGAAGCGCAGTCTGTACTAATGGATGGTATCAGTCAAATGGCTGATGTGAAGGACATTTGTGATTCCATTAAAACGCAGCTAGTCTTCCTCATCGAATGGGCAAAGAGCTTGCCCAGTTTCGAAACACTCCCGATGAGTGATCAAGTGAGTGTCCAACTAGTCCAGCACATCGTCGTCGGACTGACAGACGCAGTGGGGAGTATCGTATCTAGACGTGCACCATCTCACATTTGCGTGTTATCGTCTCCCGCTATTCATGTATTCGTCTTACTTTAGTTCTATGTTGTTATTTCATTTGACGTGAAATCTTGGAAGAGAGGTCGGGTTTTCATCCCAGAGCGAATTCAGCAGACACTAAGCTGCGCATGCCAAAACAGTATTATTTTCGAGGTTTGCCACTTGCTTGGGAATATTTCCGCTACATTGCTTGCACCCCATTGCCTTTATACCTTTAGGTCACATCGTCTCATATTTATCTACACATTTATCTATATCTACCCATATTCTCATCAACGTAGATTGCGTTATTACAATCCCATGCCGGAGAAATGCTGATTCTTGGAGCCGTCTGGCGTTCGCTGTCCACTGCACGTGCTCAACAGACTACTCGGTATAGCTGCTGTTTAACTAACGGCGATGCCGTCAAGCGTATCCAGCAGTGTCAGTCGGAAAGGCCGAGAGGGATCTGTCCGGACATCGGAAGAATTGCTAATAGTTCAGATATTTTCTGTTTGGCTCAAGATGCCAATACGAACCAAGGCGACCAGCACGGACTAGTTGATACACAAACCAGTGATCCCCAGTTGATTCTGCTTGGAAATCGTCGAGTCATATCCAGAAGAAGTCCACAGATGCAGATCGCTGAAATTGCTCGACTGATTCTTGATCACTTGTATCAACCGATGCAAGAGCTATGTTTGGATGACGCGGAAATGATTTGTCTTCGAGCAATCGTGTTTTTCGATCCAAGTAAGGACGACTCGCAATCGCCAAGTCACATTTTCCAGTCATAAATCAGTGCTTTTGGCCTATAAATATGATAACATGTTTATATTTAGAGAACAAAAAAGGGTCTATTTTCGATACCGTTATTTCTTTTGCTTATACCACCTTTGTTATACTTCAAACATAACTGACTATCATAGAAACCGACACTAGTCGTAAAAGGAATTGGTTGTCAGCTGAGTGCGCTACATTCAACAATTGTTTGGAAAAAGAGCACGCGGAGTCGTCTTAACGTTTGAAAATAAGTACTGAATTATTTAACACATCTGAATTGGAAAATCCTGCATAAGTACTTAAAAAGTACCTATAAATATAGCACTGGAACAGTTACCACTCCCCATAGGTTTATTTGGAAGGTCAGATTAAGCGCTTCAATTTCAACTAATAGCATAGTGGCAAATAAAAAGCTATTAAGGAACGTTTGCCTTGGCATTTGCATCGTGGCAGATAAAAGTACACCCTACGTACCTAGTTTAAATGACCGAGTTGAAACCGTTTGTTAGCACAGCGGCATTCTACCGTGGACACCAAACATTTCAGGTTGCATCATTAAGAAAGATTTTAATGACTAGCAGTATTGCAGTAACACGACAGACTTGGTACTGGTAACTCATGCCTCACAGTTTTGAGGAGAGGAGCAACTACAGCAACATCCATTTTGTAATTGATGCGCTGTTCGCTTTAGTTGGTAGGTTCTTAGGTTGAGTGAGTGAGTTGCAGCGGGTATTTGGAAAGGTATCGAGTTCTTTTACCATCAGAAATGTATGCAGCAGGTGGCTGCTTAATGGTTGATACTATAGTCTGAGCTAGCTTATGTTCTTTGGTCTGTCCTGATATATGAGAGCAAACTGTCTGTTGACCCAGTGAGAGTTGCCTATCTCATGGCAGTCAGCCTGAACAATGATGGGCGTATTTACTCACGTTTTGAGTAAAACTAGGGGAGCTGAGTCATCTACGGGTTTTCACGAGGGGTTAACATGTTAAGCTGCAGTTTTTGAACCTATGACCGTATTCTGAACCAAGTCTCGAATGTCACGTTCATGTGGAGTGGTTTATAGATTTGGACCCCGAACTGGAATGCGGATCCATGAAGTAAATAGACCTTGTCGAATTTCCAACTGAATAAAAATCATTGGTACTGCACACTCAGATCGTTCAAGAGTTGTTTGAGAACATCGCGCTTATTGAAGGATTATTTTGTGTAATGTCATCTATGAATATCGAGATATCTTCCGCACGCCGCTGCAAGACTTTCGATAGACCCAGTAGCATTAACCAGACCGCAACGTTGTGAAACATTCCCTTGAGCAATAGACTTAATTTCCGCTGTAAGCACAAGTGAGAATCTTCAAATGTTCATACGAACCTCAGCAAAAGGTATGTCTTTCTTCTGCTAACCAGCAACAGCAATACGTCTGCCTAAATGGTATGTCAGCAGTTACTCCTCTCGACTGGTTCCTCCATGATTGTGAGGAATGGTGGTAGATCGACCCAGTCCTGTGGTGGGACTATGCACTTTGAATGTGATAAGCCCATACCGAAGTGCGCAACGCTGCGCGCCAGCATAGTTAATGGAATGTGCAAAGCAACTGGGTTCGGTCAAAATAGAGCTACTTCTTTAGCATAAGACCCATCATCCAAGTAAAACTAATAAGCAGGACGGAATCATCCTGATCATTTTGGTCCCAAAGTTGCATAGTGGAAATAAAAATGGAGCAGAAGTAGTATATTCCCCTTGTCATGGCGAATTCAGAGCAACATTTTTCCTTAAAATCTCATACATCCAAGGGAATCGTGATACAGCGATTCCAAAGTATCTTCTTCGGAGCTAAGCATTGCCATAGACAACAAGGTAGACAGAAATAGAGACACCTATTGAAGAGAAGAAGAACAGATGATAACTCCGTGTATAGTCACTAACCAGTGTAATAATTCATAATCAGCTGATACACTCTGGGAACCGCCCAGTGGACACGAGTGGACTGTTCGTAGATGGCCTGACGACCGAATGCTGTTGAATACCCAAAGCTAGTTAGTTGGGTGATGCAGTAGGGTTCTTATCTGTTTGTAACATGTTTTAATCTGCTCTCACACTCGGGCAGTTGCATCACGAAATTGTGATAAGCTGCGTTCGCCCGTACATAACTTAGAACATTACGCTTGGTTTACCTTTTGTTAATGATCAGCGTTTTGGCAATGGGATTCTTTTTGTCTTCAGGAGAAAATACTTCTTCTAAACCTATTACTGGTCAGATGACTGACAACTTAATGTACGCGCTACTCCAACCATGGCTATAACGATGCAACCGAGATGGTTCGAAGCTAACCAACTTACTACCACTTCCTGTTCGTATAAATCTGCTTGAATGCGTTTTCAAACAACAGCGTTTTTTGCCCTCTGGATTTAAGCAATCACAGTTGCGGCAGTCAGTAGGTGAGAGGCGGCGACTACCAGGATTTGTGTTGACTATGTGCTCTCTCTCTGCCTGTCTTTATTGCAGACTGTGCCAATCTGACCGAATCCGGTCGCACTTTGGTACGAATGTGCCAGTATCAAATCCAAATTGAACTGATGCACTTGATGAATGACAAGCTGTATCTTCCCCAAGGTCGCTTCGGGGCATTGCTCTTACTTTTGCCCGAGCTGCGTTCAGTCACACAGCAGATGGTGAACCGGCTGCAGCTCGCCAAACAAATGGGTCTGACACGCCTAGATGAACTTCTGTCTGAAATACTCTTGTGTCGTGAGTCAAATGGTGTGTCACCTTTCCCTGCCATTCCATTTGTTCATCTTTATCTGTGCGTTTTTAAGTCAGTTCTCGATCGCTCCATATAGCAGCCCACGGAAAGGAGGCGAATTATAACGCAGCGTCGAGGAACAGGTGAACTTAGGCGCAGTGACTCTAACCGGAAGTAATGTCTGGTCATAGGCGTTGGGTGTTATACGCGCGTACCACTCTGCATGATGACTCTCATGACTATTCGCACTCGTTGGGTCAAAATAACTGAACTTCGTATTGAGCTCGGATCGCTGGAGTCATGGCAGAAAACCTTACCAATAAGATACTGATTAACGGCGGCTAAGGTTTGTCTCAACGGTTAATAAGTAATTGAAAAGAATTGGTGGGTCAAGTTTGGACTACACGTTGTGCGATTGGATTGAGACGCGCAATCTCAATGTAAGGAACTGTGGTTCACATTGAAGTGAACCTTAGTCACGGCGATCACTGGGTCCGTACTCAAAGCAGATGGAAATTGGGTGTTGCCCACTCGAAAACACTGCACAACCATGACGCGTTTCGATGTAATTTCATCCCATCAGGTGGAGACAGCGGGCCATCTTCTTTGAGCACGGTCCCCGTGATTGCAGTGACTAAGATGCACTTCAATGTGAATCACTGTCCATTACATTGAGATTGCGTGTCGCAATCCAATCACACAACGTGTAGTCAAAATTTGACCCTTCAATAAGTCATCTACCGTTGTGCCAAGCGTTGCCCACCGTGACCCGGTATCCAAAGGGGTGGAGGTTTCGGCTACTATTCCAATTGTCGCGGGATCGAGGCCTGCTCTCTCCACCTGATGAGAAGAAATTACATCGAAACGCGTCGTGGTTGTGCAGTGTTTTCGAGTGGGCAACACCAAATTTCCATCTAATTGAACGGAACTCCTTATAACACACGTTCAGTGAAAGGTAGCAATACGCTAAGCGCGACAGTGAACAACAGAGCAGTTTTAAGGTGTGATGGACAAATTTTAGGATGGATTTCGGCTTTCCTAAACGGAAAGGAGGTGGGCGTTTGGGTAAGTGCCAGTCTCTCTATCCGCCAATGCGTGACCGACGGTGTCCCGCATGAGTCAGTCCTTGGCATCCTAATGTTCCCTTTGTATGTAAACAACGTATCTGCAGGTCTGGTGTGTCATGCTTGATTATTTAAATTCCTGGTATAAACTGGCTAATTCAAGTGGTCTACTCGCTCTACAAAATGCGTTGGATAGACTTTGGGACTGGCCCCTTTTATGACAGCTAACATACACCTTGCCAAATCTTCAGTTTCGCGTATTATCCGCTTAGTAGAAACGAACTGCAGCGGTGGCCGCTCCAAGTTGACCTAGGCATCTTGCTGTTTTCGAACTTTACGCCCAGTGAACACTGGACCGCGTCTGATAGTAAGCGATTTGACATGTAAAGGATTCACAAGCTATTTGAAAAAATAACGGTCGAAATATTTGTAGAACTATTTTCGACCTATGTTAGGCTGCAGTTAGTTTACCATGTGCAGGCCTGTCCCCAAAGCCTACACCAGGAAAAGCTGATAGTGGACCCAGTGCTGTGGTCCGGGACGAAACTAGTACATGCTTTAAGGAAATCATCACATCATGAGGAGCTACTCAAGTTGGAATCGTTTTGGTGGTATCATAGGCGGCACGCGTACAATCGAGACCTCACTTACCACACACTGGCTAGACAGACTGGATCTAAGTTATCTGGACTGTTCCATTCTATTAGGTTGCCAACTCTCCGTGATCCTAAACCTGGAGTCACATTAGCCGCGATCCGAACGGTTTGGAACAGCTTTTCGGTTTCTAAGCTAGTTTATAGATTGATGGCACTTGCTGCCCACAGAAGTGGTAAGGACAGCAATGGCGGAACAATGGAAAAATAATGCAGTGCCTGTAATAAGCAGGTGCTTACCGAGTCCCGTGAGATGACCAGAATGAGAATCCAAACGGTAGAAGTCAAGTGAGGTCAAGAATAGGTTTGCAGCTGGAACGCACTTGCCAGCGACGTGATATATCTGTAAGTAAATAGCAGCAGAACAAGCACAAATGTAAAGTTCAATGAATTTACCGGCCAGTTCTTGAATAATAGCGTTTTGGTCAGATAGAAATCTAGCTAAATAGGGAATGACGGACGAAGCATAAGCCTTCGTACGGGAATATATTGCTCTTTGCTTTTATCTGGTCGATGTGGTAGATGAACAGTTAGAAATCACATTGTGAAGTGGGTGACTGATGTCAGGGACTATATTTCTGCCATGCTTTGTAAAAACAGTACTATGCGTGCCTACCATTGCTTGAGCCAAACTTGGCTTTAAAAGGCCATTGTAGCAGGAACAAATACTTCAGAGACCCGTCAAACATCATGAAGCTTATACGGTAGGCTTGAAAACCTATAGGAGGACGGTAAGTCTAGTGTGGTAGAGTGAACGTAGTGATGAACTTCAGTAACATAGTGTTTGATAGGCGAGATGACCACAATCTAGCAAAGCAAAACAAAAGCCACCTTATTTTTGCAATATATATATATTTATATATAGGTTGGGCTAAACCAACTTACACTTAAACTTGGTCTTTTCAGGCTGGATAAATTTCATTCCACTTTAATTGATTTTTCTGCCTAACAGAATCATCTTCTATTAATTGTACACGCTGCTTATGCCATTTTGGGCTTATGTTCATTAACTTTATTGTGTGTAGCGTTTTTGAGTAACTTGTGGACATTTCGTAAGTGTCGCTTTTTCGTTGATAACCAACTTACTTCATATGCTAATTTAGCGAAGAGTTATGTCTGCATAGCCGTATGCTTTACAGATATATTTTCGATAATGTTAGTTCAAGTGATTGGCTGTTGCTTGATATCCCCGGTGTGGCTACGCTTGATGTGCATGTTGACATGGTGCCTACCTGTTTATTACCCACTACCTCGTCCATAATGCCTCCAGAAGACAGTTGGTCGTTGTTGTGGGGTCGGTGTGCACGGTCTTCGTGGACGTGCTAGGCTCGAAAAGAGGTTTCATGCACTCAGTGCGGAGCGGAACACGGTACAGCCACCGGCTTGTGTGTGGTTGATTCCCCAAATGCAGCGTGCATGTGTTTGCCTGAAAGTGTGTGGGTGGACTCCCATATGCAGTATAAACCCCAAGGAATAAGGCTGTGAGGCATGTGGATGGGAGCCACGTTTCATCAACGGAGCAGGCCCACACTCCTTCACAGGCAAACACAAGCACGCTGTATTTGGGGAATCAAGTGCACACAAGGCGGTGGCTGTACCGTAGTCCGCTACACACTGAGTGCATGGAACCACTCTTTGATCCTAACACGGCTACAAGGACCATGCACCCTGTCCCCTCCGGCAACGACCAACTGTCTCCTGGAGCCAGTATGGACGACTTAGTAGGTAATAGACCGGTAGGCAACTTGTCAACATACACATCAAGCGTAGCCACACCGGGGAGATCAAGCAACAGCCAATCACTTGAGAGAAAGATAACAAATAAAATAAATCTAGTGATGCATAAGGAAACGATGATATTAATGTCAAATTAATGAGCATATGAAACAAGTTGTTAACAAACGAATGTGAGATAAGTTCACGAGGTCGCAAAGTATATTACACGGAAATACCACAAACACGAAAATGTTATCGAAATTAACTACAATTGGATTAAGCGACGTGTGCAAGTTTACAGAAGAGAGTACAGGTGGAAATTTTTATGAGAAAAAACAATAGGGCAAAATTGCAAACCCACCACCTGAAATAAAGAGACTTAGCGTGCAAGCACGCGGTTAGTAAATCGAATGCAGCGTGCCTAAAAACGCCGTGCCACTTCTGTCTTCGTTCTCTGCTGGACCCGTCGTCGCTTCGATTGTGGTCCCGAGTGGCATCGCTCATGGCTCACTAGGCCTGCCTGACTGAGGCACTCGCGACCGCATGTGCTACATCACCATGCGCTTGATGTCGATGGGGTACAACCCATCCGTGCTTGCCGCTTCCACACTTGCCGTTTCTTCTCTGCATATATGAGGTCTTTCTCCCGCACTTCGGCAACTGCCATCGTGAGCAGATCGCGCCATGCACGCCGATCAACCGCCTTCGATTCCCATGATTTGCAGTCAAGATTAGAACGTGAGAGGCTCATTTTGATCATGTCCTGGTAACGTGACTTTGGTTTCCCCACGTGCCGCTTCCCAATACTCAGCTGACTGTATAAGAGTTGCTTCGGTATCCGCGTTGAATCCATACGGCTCACATGACCGAGCCACCTCAGATGTCTCAATAAATGTATGCAGTCCACTGCATACATCCCACTTTGTCGCAACACTTCCGTGTCCACAACTCTGTCGCCCCAACCGATGCGCAAAATCCGTCGCAGACACTGCCGATGGAACCGCTCGAGATATCGCACATCCCGACGGTACATCGTCCACAATTCACTGCCGTATAGAAGAACGGACAGCACCATGGATTTGTACACCATCAGCTTCGTACCAATAGTAATAATAATCATTATCATACACGTTAGCTAGAGGTGGGAAACACCTCAGCTACTGTGCCGAAATACATAGAAAAAAGGAGAAAAAAAGCAACTGGTGCAAGCTGGCTGAGCTACCGGTAACGGATGGGCATCGTTCCGGTAAGCTACCAGCCGGCTGCTGTGCACCCAAAAAGAAAAAAAGTATTATGCAAGATTATATAAGGCTAAATAATGAGATCGTGGTTGAAGGGGGAGGCTAAGAGGGATGGGGTGGGACAAAGAAACTCACAACACGAACGCCACTGAGGTCGGCTCCTAGCCATACCAGCAAGTGTGTCCAACCAAACGTGTTCATTGTCTTTCGGACGCCAACCAGGGAGCCGAGACGCTCCAAACGAGGCCAGCTCAGAAGTGAGGGCCTTCATTCCTCTGGACCAAGTCATCGCTTGGCCACCCCTCCTCTTCTTCCATCCACACCCCCGGCGCGCAAACAATACACGTCGCGGGAGTCGGTGGGCTGGCATGCGTAACACGTGGCCGAGCCATCGGAGCCTGATGCGTGAAATAACGGTGCTGA